CCCCAAAACCCCAAAACCCCAAAACCCCAAAACCCCTTCTTGTGCAAAAATTATAGAATATCTATCAATGGATAAAACTCAAAACAGAGTACCCTTTACTCGACAAATTTGGAAAAGATATGATAGAGGTGGCTCCTTCTTTGCGATGACGGGATTTTACCTATATTTAGTCATAATCCTAACATTTGTCTATATACCAGAGTTTCGGAAGGTTCATGGAGAGATTCTAGCAGCTTTGGTGCATTTCATATCTCTATTTTTAGGGTTTATGTCGTATTGGTGCTTCTTTAAAACTGCTATGGCAAACCCAGGAGATGTTGATCCTAACTATATTCATCCAATGCCTGATCCGCTTGACCTAGATAGTGGTATTACAAATCCTAGCTCTGAACAAAGATTTGAATATCTGACTGAAGCTATCTATTCAAGAATCTTGACTAATTTTGATAAATTTGCTATCCAAGAGAGGAAAAAGTTTGAATTGATACAGAATACACAAGAAGACAAAGAGGTTTCAGAATGCTCCTCCCTTACAAGACAACAACAAACAAAGACCCTAATTATAAACAACTTCTGCTACAAACATTGAGTAGCTTGTAGGATGGATCAACCACCAAGAGCGAAGCATTGAGATTTGTAAGTTTTATTCTCAAAAATAGTTGCAAGAGATGAGTCCTCAGATACGACCACCACTGCTTTATCCTGGGAAATTGTATAGGCTTGCACAACTTCAAGCCCTTCCTGCTACTTCAGTACTACACATGCCTAGGAGGTGCTAACCTCCTAGGCTGGTTTATATATGGACTAACAGTGCAGAAATTTGGATCTGAAGAGTTTTTACTATTCTTTGCTGAGTACATCTTTCCTATCTTTCTCCTCTGATTCATGACTTTTGGGACATTTTGCCAAGCAATTGTGAATACTTATTATTTATTGAAGAACAGGACCCAGCAGGATATCATACAGAACTTTAGAGTCAATATCTTTGACACAGGATCGTGGTCAAGCAATGCAAAGGAAGTCTTTGGCACTAGAGGAGGGCTGTTGTGGTTCCTTCCTGTTGACACAGGAGAGAAGCCAACCGACGGACATAACTTCAATTTTTATTATCTATAGTCACTGCCAGCATCAATCAAGGAAGATACGTAAGGGGTTTTGGGGTTTTGGGGTTTTGGGG